GGCGAGATACGTAGTCTGATATCCCCGATACCAGGGATGGGCGCCTGCTACGCGCTAGGTATGCCAACCCGCCAGGCAGCCGTGTGAAGCCGGCGGCCCGCCCTGACCGCCCAACTGGGGGGCTTTCGAGCAATAGAGCGCATTTCGTTTGACGCCCAGCGTTCCCTCGCGTCACCTCGGGTGACGTTGATTGTGAAACATCTTTACGATCGGTTTCCTCGGAAACAAATACCTGGTGCCCTTTGGCCGGGGCGGAGGGGTACGCATTGCGCAACTAAGGTATAGTGCGGTATGTGCACGTGCACCAGGTGTCCCGGCTTTTACATGCCAGTATGATAGGTTGCATAAGCACCGGCTAGCAGGCGCTATCGGGAGCGCGCAGGATTTCGCGCATCCCCGCGGAACCGCGAGCCTCCCCGTGGAACCGCGGAGGTTGCGCAAAATCCTGCGGCGGCGGTGCTCGCGGGTCCGAGGGGGATGCGCAAAATCCTGCGGGTACCCGACAGCGCCTGCGAGCCAGCGCGTATGCAACCCGCTATACACATGCATGTAAGAGCCGAGACAACCGGCACATTCCTTCATGCGGCATAGACTTTTGTGGTCTAAAGGAATACGGAACTATGCGTGAAAATTAAAATCAAACAGTAGGCAGGGTACTCCATTTGACAAAATGAAACGGAAGTGTTATGTGCAAACCGGAAGACGAAAGCCACGAAGACGAAGACCTAGCCACCAAGAAGAAGAAGTTATCACTGTGGAATGACTATCAATTCCCTCTGACGTGCCTAGCTTACCTAAGATAAGTCCTTTGGAATCCAGTCCACCCATAGTCCTCCCCAACGATCCTTTACATAACAAGGGCACTCGAGAGCATAAGTCGAATCACCGTCTGATTACAGAATAGAGAAACATTTTTACTGTCAAGTCAGGCCGATAAGGAAAGCTGACATAGTTCGGTAATCATCCTTCAATTACTAAGAGCCCTGGAAAAAAATACTCAGAACTGAAAATGAGTTCATTTGTGTGACAAATTTGTTTGTTCTGACACTTCGGGTGTTTCACCTTCAGAACAAATTGGTTGGCCCCTGCAGCGACGTGATTCTAGTAGGGAAGTCCCACGCAACGTTCCGATGCCCGTTCGGTCGGCGGACATAGTCCGCAAGTCCGCAGACATAGTTGAAATCTCATATTGGGGGTTGAGCGGTGGTGGCTGGCGCTGGCCAGCCAGCCGCGAGGCGCGCGGGTGGGTCAGCGGCGGGTAGGAGCTGTTTGAACAGGCCGATTACGCTGGTGAGCAAGCATGGCGCACACCGCGATAAAACCCCTTAGAACAGAACAGGCTGTCGGGTATCCTATATGATCCCCCCTCTCTTTCTCTCTCTCCCTCCCTCGCACACACACACGCCCTCTCTCTCTCTCTCTCTTCTCTCATGGCGTCGCGGTGCCTCATGGGCCCGCACACCGCGGCTAGAGCGTGTAGAGCTGAGAGCGCACTGGCCTCCGCCCGCCAGACACTCCGCGCCCCGCTTCGCGACAACATGTTGTCTACCCGCCTGGTGGTCGTCGCCGTCCTGGCCGTCCTGGCCGCCGCCAGCGGAGCCTCCGGGGCGGACGTGTGCGCGTGCCCCGAGCCGCCCACGCAGAAGAACTTCGACGCGGATCGCGTAAGGATCCCGCCCTTTGTTGAATTAACTTGACGCGGGCACCATATGAACAGCAAAATTTTCGCAAAAATTACATTTCTGTCTTGTGTCCCTCCAAAAGTTCAAGTGTATACGCGAAAATTCTTGTCTTTAGCTTGTACTTCGCTTCCACCATTAGATTATCTATCTCCTGTCGCTGCGGCGTGTTTTGGCGCCCGAGCTGACGCAAGAGCAGACCGGACCGGCTCGCTGCTCGGCTCGCATTCGATTGCATTTTCATTGTATTTTACCACTCTCCACTCGCCTGGCTAGTTTATTGATGAAAAGCTGTGCAGCACTATTTGAAGATTTTGAATTCGCAAAACTCTTCAGCTGGAAGAGACAGATATTGGGGTGGAAGAAGGGGGCTGGGACTCCGGTGACTGATCTCCTCTGCCCTGCGCGCGTGGGCGGTGGGCGCGGCGGGCGTTTATCGTCCCTGCTCGGTGTGGCCCCCATCGGAGAGCCTGTTCAAGGCGAAGGCGAGATACTTGTTTTATGCCGGGCACGACGACTGATTACAGTACCTGGGCCTGTGGTACGAGATGAAGACGGCGGCCGGTGGCTACGAGCAGGGCGGCCAGTGCGGCACCGCACACTACGCCTGGAACGCCGACAAGACGGCCGTGAACGTCATCAACGCCAACTTCGTGCCGACGTGGGTACCCGTGGGGGACAGTACAGGAGGCTCTGAGAGCAACTGTGTATCTAACACTCTAGTGTGGGCCTACAGCGGGAACCGGGGGAGGGGGTTGGGGGATTTATAGACCCGGCTCGATATCAACACTTAACGCAAATTGTTCCGCGGGCAGCCTTTGCCAACCGCGGCGCTTTACCATACATTACCCACCTCACTCACCTCTCACCCGTCGGCTCCTTGGCCGGCCCGCGGCCCGGCCTGCAAGGCCTCTATAGGCCCAGGCCCGGCCGCGGACTGCTATCTGCAAGTTTGGCACGGGGCAGATGTGCGCGATCCGTCTGCTGCAATGTGTATCTCCAGTATTAATCACGCGACCCCACAATATCATAATAATTTCCTCCTCTTTTGTGTGTGTGTGTGTGTGTGTTTACGAATTCATGGATGGTAAATTGTTGGAATCTTTTTGCAGGTTTGGGGGTAACTACACGGTGAATCTAATAGCAACGCCCGTCGTCGTAGCCGAGGGCAAGTTCACCGTCACCTTCCCGTCGGGTCCGCAGGCCTCCAGTAAGTAATGCATGTGTTCTCCGGCAGTATTTACCCTCTCTTTAGCGCGACATTTCTTCGTAACATTCGCGAGCGTCGGCAATGTACTGAGTGTAAAGGCTAATACTCCCCAGTGTTGCGGGTTTGCATACCCAGGGGGCTCTATGGCACCTTACGGGCAGATCGGGTAGGCAAGCCCGCAACACTGTGGTGTATTGCCTTTACATATGGTATGGGGTGACCCTACAATCCCACCAGCCGTGTTTCGTGTAGTTACCATACCGCACGTATGAGTGCATTGCATGCATATGCAGCCCACGTATACGCGTGTTTTGTACACATTGCAAAAAGCCTGGCCCCTGGCGTAGCATCGGCATCCCTGTAACTCCAATTTAAGCCGACTTCTCTGACTACAGCCCCACCGGCGATGTACTGGGTCCTGGGCACTGACTACGACACCTACGCCGTGGTGTACTCCTGCAGTTCCTCAGGAACCGATGGGGAGTTGCCCAAGAGTAAGCTAAACCGCTAGAACTAAGGTATTTTGAGAGCACCATAGTCACTTTACATGGTGTGTTGAGAAATATCTCCCTCTCCGTCACGCAGTCGCGCTTTGGGTGCTGGCACGACACCCCGACAAGTACAACGCGGAAACGAAGAAAACCGTGGACCAGCTCATAAAGGACAACAAACTGGACGGCGTCGTCCTCCAGGAGGTGGGGCACGACTGCCCGGCCACCACGTGCAAGCCGTGCCAGGCCGTGGAGAACCTGGACGTCGCCAAGGTAACACCGAGAGAGCGCCGACGCGTTGGCGATCGTAGGAACCATAAGAAACTCGGGTGACCAACGTCCTCGTCCTCTTCGTAGCTGTCCGCCGGCCGCTGGTGGGAGCTGCAGCACAGCCTGTACGCCGACAATACCGACAACAAGAGCTGCGCCTACGCCGACTTCAGCGCCACGAGCGACGGAATCAAAATGGACGTGAACGCCATCGAGTACAGGTACGTGGCGCTTATCTCACCAAAGTGACTCACGAAAAAGTGGAAAATGGGGGGGGGGGGAAGGACTAGGACAGGATGAGAGGACAGGTGTGGCTTCACCAAGGCCACGCAGCCGTTAGGTCGAGGCGGCATAGGCTACACAGCAGAGTTGTGGGTGGTGTCCATCTGCAGTTACTCGTCCCTCACTTGCCCCACTTACCGGATTGCCTACCCCATCGGCCTTGGCCATGAGCTGGGTGTACATCGTGTACGTGTCCTTCCCACCACTGGCGCGGCGGCGAGCTGACAGCGCCACAAAGTATTCCGAATCATGGAGGTTTTGACTTCCCCGGACAGGCTCGACGGCAGCGTTGGCAGCGACATTCCAAAGAGCCTGCCGGGCAAGTGGTTCAACAACGACGGCAAGAACAAGGCGGAGTTTGCGATCAACGTCGCCGACGCCGACAAGGACGACCGATTCTGCATCATTGGCACCGACTACGACAACTGGGCGGTCTTGACCGTCTGCAAGAAGGCAGCCAAGCGCAGCGACATCCCATCCTTCCTGGACATCGACCCGGTGCCGTCGGGTAAGTGTCGCAGAACTGAGGCACAAGCGATGACCGCCCGAGGCGCCCGACTCACCCAGACTGACCGTTGCCTCCTACTTGCTTGCAGGCGGCATCTTCGTCCTGTCGAGGGCACACGGCCTCAACTCGACGCACCAGATGGCGGCCAACCAAGCCGTGGTGACGGCCGGCTGGGTCCCGTCTGCCATGGTGCCCACTCCGACGACGCCCTGCCCCTCCTCGGCCTTCGACAGCGACACCAAATCCGCGGCCGGTGCCGCCACCCCCGCGGCCATGCTCATCCTCGCCATGGTCGCGCGCGCCCTGCGCGTCTAGGACGACACTGTCGCACGGCTCATAGCCTCATCCCTTACTTTTCCCACACACTTCCGCTTACCAAACGCTCCAGCTGCTCCAGCCCTTCCAGCATGGGTCGACCTTACCTGACCGTGCGCCACCATGTGCTGACTAGGGCTGCAAAAGGCATAACCAGGAGAGAGGCGCTACAACACTATAATTTTCTACTACCGAAAAAAACAACAACATATTTTGTTCGTACACTTATGAAATCTGTGACACACACAAATAAGTACAAATTAAAAAAATAAACATCAACTGGCCCTCTTTACTTGTTGGGCGCAGGACTACTTTTCTTGGATTCTTTCTGGCGGATGCACCGGATATCCCTGTGCGTAGGAGCGAGACAACAACCGTCTTTTGATGCGTAGCGTGGAGTAGTGACCCTACCTGGGCCTGGGCGGCGTCCGAAGGCAGTTGGTAGGGATCAAAGGCATGGAGAGGCGAGGAGGGGGGGGGGGGGGATCCCGGAGACAGCCGCGCCGCATACCTGCCTGCCGGCACGCTCCCGGTGCAGCGGCGCAGTCGGTCTCCTGGCGTGGCTCGAGAAGTGTCGTGAACTTGTGTGCGGTAGCACCCCCCAGGACGCTGTTGTGCGTTTGTGCACCTGGGCTAACCATCTGATCAACTCGCTTTGATCATGGCTACAGGTGAGTCAAAAACTTAGAAAACGTATCCGGCTGCTCTTTTGGGTAGACTAAGTGTGTTTGGTGTATACGAGGTACGAGTCGACGGCTGTCGCTCTCTGGATGGGGACCAATAAGGGACCGCACACGTTGTCGCGTTGCCAGGATTCGCTAACTGAGCAAAGTGTGTAACTTGTTAATCACCAACCAGGTGTGTACCGTGTGTACTTGGCAAAGGAGTGGAAGGGGTAACTATGTCCTCACTCATTCGGGAAATGCGTGGCTGCTGGAAAGTTTCGGCGTCTTGCTTGTGGTGCCACCAACCAAGAAAGAGCACACATTAAGTTTCTAATGTTTACCGGTGGCGGGATGGCGCGGTGGGGGCGAGTGTAGCGGCGTGTGTGTAGGTGTCGAAAGTTTGGAAAACAGCTGACCGCTGCCGTGCGCCGTGCGGCGGAGGGCTGTGGATGGCGGGTGTGTCTGCGCGTGAGCCAATCCGAAGGCAGCACAATAGTGCGGAGGAAGGGGGAGAGGGGGGCTTTGTGATGCAGGGCGGGGACGCGGCAAAACTGCCCCCGGCTCTGGGCAAGTCCGGAAGGGGAATTCCACGAAAGAAGTGACTGCGCACTGCGCGAGCCGAGCTCAAGTCATGAGTGAGTGTGTGAATACTGGAAGGAGATAATGACATGGAAGAAAAGCTTTAAAGAGCGCCGCGCACTGCGGGTCGTTGAGCGATTATCACACGCGAATGAAACGCAGATCGGTCCCTGACCTCAAACCTGGCCTGGTCAGTTGACGCGGTCGCTTCTCTAAAAATAAAAAATAATCAAAAACACACTAAAAATAAAGCTCAGTTTAGATTGTTAGCCTCGGGTCAGCGACCACCACGACGATGCAGACGAACTTTTATCGTGTGCCCGGAATAGAGGGTTCGTCGACACAAACGTTCGCTCCCGCACTCAGGTGGTGCTCACGGTACCGATTGTGAGGCGACCCACAGGGCTTTCTACTCCACTTGGCCCGGGGGGCGCCACGGCCCCGACCTCTCGAGGCCCCGGCCATCCCCGATAGTGCGTGCGGCCCGGGCGACGGGCGACGGCGGCCCGGGCAGTCTCGGCCGCCACGTGCGCCGCGCTCTGTGGTTCCCTTTCGCCGAACGAGACACGTGACTCGCTAAATTTGTCCGGCGAAAAAAAAAGTGGCAGAACAAACGCTCGGTCACGTTTCGTTTTGTGGACGAGGCAAACAGCCCCGCCGGGGCGGCGGGCAGGTCCAAGCCCTTCTCTGCAAACAGAGCGGCGCTGTGGACGTAAAGAGAGGCCCGGGCCAAGGTCCCCGCAGCGCAGTGTACCGCGTAGCGCAGCGAGCTGCTCTCAATTTGTTTCGAGTCCGATAAGTGAACCTCCCTCCCTCTCGGGCCACAGGGGCGTAAGTGTAGTACGAGGCGAAAGGGGTGGGAGTGTGGGCTCAAAGCGCGCCACGCGGACACCCCCGACACGACGTCTACTCGCTCTCTCCTACAGAACTACACCGTCCTGATTTTGTTGCTCGGGCAATCAACGGCAGCGTCACGATGCGCGGCTCTTTATCGCGGGCCAGTGGTTCACACGGCCAGGCATTGTACATCACAACACCCGTTCGAGTGTGGGCGCGTTATTCTGGCCGCGAACGAACGGGGCGACAACAGTGGAGGCGCATCCGAGTGTTAAATGATTACTGAAGGATGTCGCCGAGCCTTGGCTTTTTCGACACCGCTCAGATATCCTGCCTCGCCTCACCACCGGCAACAAGACAAGGGGGTGGGTCAGTAGAACCGGGGAAGTCCCAGGTGGGTGTAACTGGTGCAACCTCGGCATTGCTTCGGTATTTTCACGAGACACACACGACTTCTCCCTCGTCCGTCGCCGACGTGTAGCGCACACGCGTCACGGCCCTGGTTGTGGGTTATCGCCCCGTGACGTCACGGCCGGTCGCCAGCCAATGAGAGCACGCATTGGGGTACGAGCCCCCACAGCCGCCCGCCCCCGGGGTGGGGGTGGGGGCGGGGCGCGCGCGCTCTGTCGCACCCATTGACGGGGTGGGTGGGCCCGCTCCCGTCCTTCTCGTACTCGTTGACAAGGTCCGGGTCGCGCTGCCCGCCGTATATATACGCGTGGACGGGGCTGACCCGGGCATCAGTCGCATGTCAAGCATTGCATCAGTCGCATCGGCCCCGTCGTGGTCGCACAAACCGAGCCGAGGTAGGCGGGGCGACCTCTGTCTCACTGCCAGAGACGACACGGCGGCCCGCGGTATCGTGATAATGAAAGACGTTCGTCTTGTTGCAGCGATGGAGACACAAGGTCCACACATCTCCGACCTGCCGGTCGACGCCCTCCTGGAGGTGTTCTCCCGGCTGCCCGCCGCCGACCTGACTCAGGGGGTCACCGGCGTGTGCCGCGCCTGGCGGGACTTCGCCATGGAGCCGGCTGCGTGGCGGAGCCGGCGCGTGCAGGTGAGTACAGCAACCAAATAAATGGGCGTAATGAGGCAGATAGCCGAGGCGAAGTAGGAGGAGAGCACCTCCGCTTGACTCTCACCCGTGCATACGTCGCCTGATCAGGCCGCCATGTGGCCAGCCTCAGCCTTGGCCTTATTCAAAACCATGTCTTTTTCGCAGCTGTACTGCCTGGAGTGCGGTTAGAACGGGGAAGAATGAAACACCCCAAAGTTGGGGACATTGAGACATTCACTTTCAGAAAAGTTACATCACTTGTTCTCGTGAAAAAGGCGCATATTATCTAGATTCCTTCATTCAATAGCGATTGCGTCAGAAAAATTACGACGCAATTTCGATCATGGGACTATGTTATTTCATCGTCCAAAAGCAGTAGGATTTATCAAATGACTAATTTTATGGTTGAAAAGACCAAAGTACGTGAATTGTCTCATAGTAACCCGCCCTGACCCTGCAGGGGTGGCCCGAGAGCCTCTTACTAACCTCTGGTGCTTCCACAGGTGGCCCCCCGCAAGCACCGTCCCCTGACGGCCGCCGAGCGCCGCGTCCTGCGGCGAGCTCCCGCCCTGAGGGCTCTGGCCGTGTCACTGCGCCGCGCCCAGGACCTGCCCGACAAGCTGTCCACCATGCTGCCCATCTGCGAGCAGCTGCGCGAGCTGCAGCTGTCTCTGCCTTGCCTCAGTGCCGACATGGCTGAGGACGCGGTGCGCCACTGGCCGCGCCTGCAGCAGCTGCGCGTCGAGGCGCTCATCCTGCAGGAGAACAGCCTGGAGCGACTCGGCGAGCTGGGGCAGCTGCGAGGCCTGCAGCTGGCGACGCTCCAGCCGGCAGGCACCTTCTGGGGCCCGCTGCGCCGCGCGATCCAGCAGGGCTTTCCCTCGCTGCGCTCGCTGCACCTGGACGCGCGCTGTGACACCGACAGCACCGCCAACATGGACGAGACCGTGGGCGTGATCCTGGGGACGGCCGACAGGCTGGCGCACCTCCGCCTCGGCGTGCTTGTGCCCGCTGACAAGAGGCTACTCGCCGCAGCCGGGCAGTGCGACAGGCTGCAGAGTCTGCACGTCGAGGACTGCACCGCGATGACTGACGCCGGTCTGCTCTGCCTGGCCGGCCTGCGCCTGCAGTCCCTCACACTGCTCCACGCCAGAGACGTCTCCACCGCGGCCCTGCAGCACTTCCTGCGCGTGGCCGACCTGTCGCTGCTCCGGCACCTCGACCTGAGCGGCTGTCCCGCTCTCACCGACAGGGTGGTCCACCTCATTGCCGCCAGGTATGCCAAGTAGAATATTTGTCCGATCTCCCCTCCAGCAAAATGGTCTTTCGTTTTAGTAAAGCTGAGTAATTTTTCCAGGTGTTCTCACCCACCAACACTCGTAGCTGCAGACTGCCCCAACATTTCACGCCAAGCCCTGCCGCCCGTTGTTGGTAACAGTTCCGCCCCCTGCACTGTAGCTGCCACAGCCCGTGTTATGCTCGCCACTCCTGCGAGACCATTAGGAGTAGTGTAAGTGATGACAGGCGTAAGCTTTCAACTTCCAAACGCTGCCGAGTCTTAACGTTCACCCCGAGTGAAAATGTGTTGTGTTGTGACAAAACCGATTTTCATGTTACACGATTTTTTTGTATCATCCGAAACCCTTGTTTGTTACATTATGAATGTATTTTGGGCAAGGTCATTTACTTTGAATAAATCAATCAAATGTCCAATAAATACTGTTTTATTGAAATCAATTTTCAAAGTGAGCAAGAACAGCAGATTGTTCCACCATTAGTGCTTAACTTCAAGGCTGTGTGCAGAGTAGAAAGCTTCTTTTTTTCACATACAAAAGTCACAAAATAAATTAAACCTCAATGAGAACAGTTTTCACCTTAAAGCTGTTACCTCAATAGCTAATCTTAAGTCGGAGTAGATAAGCATCGTTCACCTGGAGATAATAAATGCACAGGAACACACACACGAAGGCATTTCATTTGAAATGCGTGCTGACACTTAGGGTATTCAAAGCTGCTTTGTAGGAAAGGCAAAGGAAAATAGTAAATTAAAAGCAAGCATATAAATCTAAACGCCAAAGTGCATGCTACACAGGTTTTCTTATGTTAAAAAGAAAGACTGAAGATGACTAAAAAATGTACACATGAAGAAGTTAAAGCCCAACTATTGAAGAGAGCCTAGAAAACTTCCGTCAAATTTAAGTAATTAAGTGATTCCATTTCTGTGTCCGAAACAGATCAAGAAGATAAGGATCAAAATGAGGTAAAATTTTTGGCAGGAATTTTGTAAGTTACTCTAAAGTGCAGAAAACATACAGAAATAGTTTTCCACGCATTTGGCGTCCTTGACTTTAATATTTTGGCAACAGCCATCAAAAACTAAAAACAAACTTTTCAAGTAAACAAAAACAAAAAATTAAGAAAAATCTGGAACTGATATAAAATTATGTACACGAATCTTAGCAACAATTCTTATGCCCTACAGTAATTGAGTTTAATGTTCATAAAGATGTATGAATATTTACTCCAAAGTCAAATGTGAGAGAATTATTGCAACATAAATTAAACTTCTAATCAAAAAAAAAAAAATATTAAACAAATTTTTGAACACTTTAAAATAAAACTTGGTGTTCAAGTCATAAATGGAAATAAATTACTCTATCTAGTCCATAATAGACGGCAACAGTTGAGAATTCTCCATCTTGGGGAGTCAATTAAGAATAGGATGATCCCTTCTCTCAAAGGGCTCTACTCCGATGCTACAAGTAACCCGATTGATACTCATAGTTGAGATAGCTGGGGGCAGAAAAAGAGAAATAAAAAGAACAAATCAAGTCAGGGGAGAAAAAAAAATGCAAACCATTAGTCATTAAAACTTTAAATCTAAGGTGAATCATCTAAGACACAAATCGTGATGCCCGGGCGCGGGACGATTCCTCCTCGTAGACCGTCGCGAGAAGGCGTCGCGTTCCGATATGCCATCCGTTCGATCCGCGGAGATGCGTTATCGCTTCGCCACGTCATCCGCGATCCGTCCGTCGTCCGCCAAGCCGTGCCAAGCCGAGGCTGGGCTTCCCGCTCCCCGATCCGATTTAATGACAAGGAATACGAGAGCGTGGATGATCGTCACGCGTCGAGAGTCGAGTCGAGACGAGCCGAGCCGCGTTGGGTCGTGTCGTAGCGGGGGACACGCGCCGTGCTGATCGGATCGCGCCACGCCACGCCACGCCGCGCCAATCCAAATCCAATCCGAGATGATCCGATCACTCAATTCGGACTAATAGGGGGCGTATCGACGCGCGGTGGGGGACGCGGCAGAGCTAAACGGGAACAACAAGACCAGTTAGACCACAACACCAGACACAGTGCAGGCCAACTGCTGCCAGAACAAAAGAGGTCACATCTTTTTAAAGATTCTTACAGCTCAAAAGGAATATTTAAGTATGGAGGCAACCTAAGTGGCGGCAGGAGTTGTGATGAAGTTAATTGAGGTGATAGTGTACTCTTAGAGTGAATGTCAAGAATCGTATCATGAGAAAGGGCAACTATCTCCTGACATGTCAGAATAGGCGGAGTGAAAAGATATCTCATCATTGTTCTGACAGCAAAATCTGAAAATATGCAAAGACAACCCGAAACCTTTACCACAACACCCCTTAGTAAAACGTGAAAATTTCTATCCAAACAATTATTGGTAAAAACTACGACAAAGGAAAAGTTCAACTATGTGTCATAGATTGAGGGGTTAATGAGGATCCTCCTCTAGAGTTCAAACACTAGTAGTAAATAGTTAACAACACTTCCAGTAGGGCTTCAGTGCCTGCAGTCTAGGGAGTGAACACAATAAAACTGGAAAGAAAAGTGTGCTTAACAAAATTTGCATTGAAGCATTGTTGGAACAGAAAGGAGTTCAATCGAGGTGCTATCACAACACACAGACCAAGCTATGAACTATAGGCAAGCAAAATGGTTACACAAGTTTAAATATGATTTAACTACAACCACCACACACGTGCCAAAAGTTTAGAGATTCATACAGAGAAGAAATTATCCAAAGAAAAAACATTCATGCAAGAACTCAAAGAATGTATTATTCCTTGAAAGGAATAGCTGAGCATTTTTATCAGCAATAAAGATAGAGAGGTAATGGATAGGCTAAAATAGAAAGTGATAACCCTTACTAATAAAAAAAACAAGGTGCCCACAGCTTACAGAAAAGTATCAAATTTACCGCTTCAGGCTCCAGGTTTCCACAGGAGAAATATTTAAGGAATAACTGGCAAGGGGCAGATCGTCACTAATAACAGAAAACAATAACAATGCAAAGGAGTACTAAGTAAAGTCTATGATACTAATCTACTATGTCATGCAAAATTAGTACACAAAGTAAAAGAAAAGTAGAACAAGGCATTTTAAGCATTGGCTACACTATGCATCAGAATGATAGGTTAGATAACTTGAAGTCACACATAAGAGATCACAGCTTGAAATCTGAAAGGAAGTGTGAATTATTTCGATGGAACTCCTTATTCTACTGTTCACACCATCAGCACAGCAATGCAGCTTTGTTTCATGAGAATCTGAAATTTGTAAGCTTCATTTCCAGCGTCTGTAGATTGGAGGCAGGAATTGATGCAGGGAACTAATACGGAATCTACGGAAAACTTACCTGTAGCGAGCAGCGGCTGCGCTGGGAGGGGAACGTCTTGAGTACATCTCATACCCACGATCATAATCAGCTGACGGGCTGCGGAGAGGTGGTGGTGGGAAAGCGTCTCTTGCACCTCGCAAACCGGGAGGCAGAGGCGGGTATTCGCGACCACGTGGAGGAACTGGGTACCGCCGGTCATACATGTCACTTTCGTAGCCTCTACGATCGTACATTCCATCATACAGTCCTCCTTCCTGTACACAGAGTCAAAGATATGTATGAGGTACATTGAGAGAAAAGTATTACAGCCAGGGAACAAAACTTGCTACACTTACCCTAAACATTCGATCCCTGAAGAAAGCAGGTGGTGGCGGTGGAGGAGGATAATGGTCTCTACCAAACATGGGACCACGGAATCCATTACTAGGGCCACCGAGCCTAGAACAAAGATAAAATTTAACTATAGAATGCAGGAAAAAAATCAAAAATAACAAATATACTACAAAATTTACCCTTTGGTACATTCTTTGGACCAATGACCCCCACGACCACATCTGAAATTACCAATATTTCATGGTCATTAAAGGACAAACAAAAAAAAAAAAATTGATAGGGAATGGGGATAGGGTAACCGCTTCAGAATTAAACGTACCTGTAGCACATTTCTGAGTCTCCCATGCCTGGACGCTGCCGAACCCTGCTGGTCGACATCTGTACTTTCATAGGTTGGCCATCAATGACATGGCCATTAAGCTCTCGAACAGCTTCAGCCACATTATCAGTAGAATCCATGTGCTGATAAAACAATAAAAAATCATAATTAATCAAAACATTGAATAATTTTCTAGAAAGAAAAGTAGTTTTGGTTCAAAGATACTTACAACAAAGCCGTAGTTCCTTACTATATCACACTCCACAACAGTTCCAAATTTAGCAAACAACTCTCTGACTTCAGGTGCTTTTGTATTATCTGTTAGGTTTCCCACAAAGATTTTCACAGTAGCAGTGTGAGGACCTTTACGACTTGTTGCAGCCTCGACTTTGATGGCACTATCATCTACCATGAACCCATTCAGGTTTGATATTGCATCTCTGCCATGTTCCTCTTTCTCCATATGCTGCAAATATTTTATAAAAATTAAAGTAATACAAAAATTGGATTTTTTTCTCTTAAAAAAACAACAAAACCACTTAACATCTTGTTCTGCAATAAATCAGATTCCTATTACAAGGATAAATTTAAACTCACCACAAATCCGTAGTTTTTGACAACATCACATTCAACAACTTTGCCATACTTCTCAAATAATGGTCTGAGTTCAGCAGCAGTCGTTTTATCAGCCAGATTCCCCACAAAGAGTTTGAATGTGCCTGCACTACTGTGCGACGGCATGTTGATAGTATTGGTAGACAACTGGAAGTGGAAGAATACGGATTAAAACTGATACAAAAACAAAAATTATTACAAGAAACGTGATTTTATTGGACCTTCCTAGCCAAAAAAAAGGGCCCCCGCTAGAAACAGGGCCTCATTCAATCTAAATATGGATCTAAGAGCCTTTTTTTAATGTTTTATTAAAAGTACAAAATTTGACATCACTTGACCTCTTATACTAACCTCAAACTTCAACTACCGAGATAACATTTAATAATTAACTTCGGGGTCATTGTGAGTGAGGTTTTAAATTAAGATCACAAAATGAAACAGACTTTATATATACAGATCTAGGAAAATGGTGATTGACCCGCGAAATTAAATGGAAATATGAGCACAACAGAAGTGACAGGACGGCTGTGAAAAGGACGCTAGCATTACGCTGAGATACTAATGAACATCTTGTTTGAACAAAACTTACTAAAATGCAAACAAACCATTACATATTCAATGATAACGATAACGTACCCCTGAGAATGTGTTTAAATTGAAACCTTCTCGTTACGCTTCCGACGTTCTTCTCCTGTGAACCATACGAGAAAATGGCTGCCACAGTGAATGCTATGCTTTCTGTACCCAAACATGGCCGACTTGTGGCCTATGTGGCCTAGCCGACCGTACCGTGTCTAACCGAGCCGAGCTCCATCAAATCCAATCCACTATCCACTTTCAATGCTTTTGGATTGGGATGTAGTTGTGTACAAGAACCGTAAGAACTGAACTCGGCTCAACAGCACCAAAGAGTCCACTGCTTTCATTTGCTGGGTCATGGGAAAGATGAAATTGAGGCATATGAAAATTTTTCTTTTATTGATAAAATTCTCAGTTTGGACAAGGAAGCCTCTGTGTCAGACATTTTCCTTTACCTTTCTGATGACATCTTGAAGAAAATTAACATGAATGTGATCGAATTTTACTAGCAACACAAAGTAATAAGAATTATTATACCTGCCAAATTTTCACCTCAGGGTAAAATCAAATTGGAGTTGTAGGCTTGCCCCTGCTCAATTGTTTAACTTTGCATTTAATGAGGACTAAGCATCCCAAGCAAGCAAAAAAAGCTACCCAAATGATACCAAAATATAATACAACCGGGACACCATTCAAACCAGCTTCCATGCTTTTTTCCCAAATGCAAGGCAAAGGTTCCAGACATGGTATGGATGAAAAATAACAAATGTTTGCCAGAATGATTTTATTCTAGTAAGCAACATTCAAATGTACCAGCAAGCCACATCTTACTGCCAAGTATTCACCACAAATTGAGGCATAATTCGCCATTAGATAAAAATTTTGTATAATAAACCCCAAAGTAGTATGTTGCCAGTGAACACTATGGATATTACTTTCATTCAAACATAATCACAAACAAAAAGGAAGTTGTCAAATCAAGATTAGTTAATGTTTATCTTTTAAGATAACAGCTACACCTTCCAGATGAAAGGACCACTACCATAGAGTAGATATGGTATTCCACTGTTTACATTTGATTTACCATAGAAAATATAGATGCTATGTGCAGCAAAAAAGATAAGTCTAGCCTCTTGATATAAACAATAAAATGATCTTAAAGCATTCAACATTCTGCTCAGCGATTGTAGAAAAGACATATGATTGATAGCTACACATCTCCATAGCGTCATAAAATTAAAAAATCTTACATAATAAAGGACATCTCTCCTACCTACAGCATTGTACTGATATTTTCTGATAAATAACCTTAACTATATTGCAGCAATCAATATATCACTAACTCAATATAAATGAGTTGTTAAAAAAATTCAGTGGTTGTCAAATATTTGTTAAATTAAACACGCACAGGACAACCAGGTACTTAAATTATGCACTCCCTTATGTGCTAGTTCCGTTGAAACCATGAATATCAACTTATTTCTTCCCAAATAAGAGTCCTTGTCTAAATCGTTCAAAATAAAACAAAGCATATGGGAAGATGCCAAAAATGGCTATGGAAGAAGACTTTGAAGTTTGACGAAGTATCCCATCGAGGCTTCCGACCTCCACAAAACGCCTTGCCGCGACTTGCATTTCCTCGTTCGGTACCGCGACGCCACGATCAGAAAGGCACGGCGAACCGCGACTCGAATCAATACGGTGCGTAGCGCGAGGTCGAGCTGATGAGCAGACAAAAACCATATTATTAGACCACGCCAGACAACGATTTGTCACAGAACGAATGCCTATCAATTTGCCGTTGTTTGAGAAATGTCAACAGCAGAGCCACTTCTCGTGTAAAGAATTCAAATAAGCTTTGACAATAAGTCACAATGAGCAAACTAAAATACTCTAACATGAAAAAGGTTTAGCTAATTGCATCAAAACAAATTCAGTGATGGCCCTAATATTCTACAGCACAGATCAACGGGTGAGAAAAACAGCAAACTGATGAAAATGATGAAAGTGTTAGATGCAGATACAATTATTTGAAAAGCAATCATGATAGGTCAAGCAACAAAGCAAACAGGCCAAGATTTCCAAACACAAAATCTAGGCATAAAGCAACTGATTGCAAGCAGAGGTTTCAGTATCCAACTCAAATAAGATCCCTAATACCTCATTTTCATGGAAGGCAACAGAGGGAGATGGGGAAGAATTCAAACACCCGGTTCACTGCACTGACTGATGTTGGGAGTTGCATCTTGGAAGCTAGGGAAGAGAGATTCCAAGAGATTGTACCTACTGTAGTAAGTTGATAAAAGCAAAGAAGGTAAAAAAGTTTCCAAAGGATTCCCAGACAATTAATGATGATTTAGTTCTAAAATCACTATAGCTACAACTCATTGTAAAATTGGGGGAAACATAAGAATACCATACTATTGAAACACGAACAAATCAACACAGACATGCAACCCAAAACAAACACAGCTTATAAAAATATTACCACTGGGCAGCGGGTAGTTAAAAGGAACTTTGACATATGCATGATATTGCCCTTATCCTGACATGCAATTGGTTAGCTTCAACATACCCAAAGCGTGGAGCTGCAGGAGGAGATCGACGAGTAAATCCTTCATAAGCCGCCGATGGTCGGTCATAGCCTGGCTCCCGGCGAGTTCCCAGGGTTGGAAGAGGAGGCATGTCACGGCGTGGCAAGGGGGGAGCAAGATAGTCAGCCCGTGCTCTTGACATATCAGGATAACCACGGCGTTCAAACAGGTCTCGCTCGTCATAACGAGGACGGTCATACATGCCATCATAGTAGCTCTCCTGAAAAGTTAGTTACCAAGATGAACAGAGATAGACAGAAAAATGTAGAGCGACAGGACACTATTTGAAATATGCATACATACCCTCATTCCAAACATCCGGTCGCGAATGAAAGGTGGTGGAGGTGGTGGTGGGGGGTAGGGCTCGCGACCAAACATTGGGCCCCTAAAACCATTTCTCATCCTAGAATTATAGATTTCCATAAAGCAAAAGATACTAATTTTCTTACACAGATATGAATTTTGAACCAATTATTTACCCTTTGGTGCACTCCTTGGACCAGTGTCCTCCCCTACCACAGCGATAACATTGCTCAGCATCTCCCATTCCAGGTCTTTGACGTACGCGGCTGGTTGACATTTGCACTTTTAAGGGCTGTCCATCTACAATCTGCCCATTCAACTCCTTCACCGCTCCGGCAACATTATCAGTAGACTCCATATGCTAGAAGACACAGTGGAAAATGGAAGTTCAATAACTAGTGAACTAACTAATTCTACATTCAACTAAATTTACAACGTAGTTGACACACTTACCACAAATCCATAATTCCGAACAATATCACACTCCACCACGGTACCAAACTTGGAAAACAATTCACGGATTTCAGCAGATTTGGTGTTGTCTGTCAGATTGCCAATAAAGACCTTGGTTGTTTGAGATGCAGGACCTTTGCGGCTAGTAGCAGCTTCAACTTTAATGGCATTGCCATCAAGCATCAGGCCGTTCAAGTTCTGAATGGCCTCTCTTCCTTGATCATCTTTCTCCATATGCTGTAGGTAAAAGCACATTCCAAAATGTAGTGTCCATGTAATCCATTACAGTAGCCTTAGCTAAGTTTTAAAAAAGCTTACCACAAACCCATAATTCTTCACTACATCACACTCCACTACTTTGCCATATTTCTCAAAGTGTGGTCGTAACTCTTCCGCTGTTGTTTTATCAGCCAAGTTGCCGACAAAAATCTTGAATGTACCTGCCACATTTGGTTTGGCTTCTTCCATCTTGAAACCTGAAATAACATTAAAATAGAGATTTCACTGAAGAGTTAAGAAATTAGGACTTGAAAAACATTTGGGAGAGCCGCCGGTCATTGAACCAGCAACTTGAGTAAGTTAAGAATGCACTACCAAAATGAGGGTTAGGGGACTTCATAGAGTAAACAAATCTAAACTCCAAGACAAGTTTTAAAAAAAAATAAGTAGAGGGAGCGGCTTCCACGTTCTAATACATTAGGTAGACCTAAAAATGCTACAGTTAAACGATCCAAGACAAAAGCATTAAGTGCAACGGTCTTGTAAACCAGACAGGCCTAAACTGTGATCTACTTTAAAACCTAGTACGTCAATGTGCCGCATCACAAGTCCTTACATCACAAGTTCTCGTTATATAGACAGAACAAGGGCCTGATGTAAGTATAATATTGTTCCATGAAAATCCGATAGGTTTAAGAAAGGATAACGGAATTCAAGACGCCATTTCACTTGAGGCTGGCGATGCGATGACGCCGGCTGCAGCGACTCAGAGTAATGGATATTTGACGCGTGCTACAAATTTGTAACAATCCAGAGCGCACTACGACCAAAAGCCTTACAGTTTTAGTCCTCTAGAAAGTAGGTACATAGAACGAAAGATCACAATACTCACGGTTTACTCTAAAAATGAAGAGTTCCCAGGGAACTGCGATTTCGCTTCGCTTCACAGCAACGCCGCACTCCGCCTTCTTGTAGTGCAGTGAGGCAGACAAAGCGTCGCGCGCGCATCGACCTCTCGATTTAGAACCAAAACAGGAAATGTCAAAAAAAGTGGCGGTAATTTTGATTGCGTGAGCCCTCCGACTTCCTTGTGTTCACTCAAGGAACAAGATCAAATAGAAACCAGTTTACTGTTTCATTATTTGCTCCTTCTAAACTCTAACTAACTTTTCCTGCACCAAAGTCAGATGCGCACACGTTAAAACCTAATGTTCCCACCTTGCCATTTCGGAGGTCCCACCCCATTTTCATTTCCCCGTTATTGGCAGTTCCTCCTTTTCGTTTTAGGGGAAGAGGGAAGATTGGGGAAGAAGAAATGTGGCACCAGCAGGTTATGTGAAATGTTTTGATTTTGTTTCGATAACGAATTTCACTTAAATTAGATACATTTCACACAGAAAAAATGAAGACCAGGTTCTCTACATATGATATTATTTGCAATGTCACCGAGCTTCAGAGGTAAGTTGTCATTTAAAAAAAATTATCAAAATGTATTATGTGTTTCATTATTTATTGTTTTGGTTTGAACACGAACCCTCTGCCGAAAATTAAAATAGTTTTATCTTTATTTTATCTACCAAGATTGGTGGGTATGCGAGTGGCGCAAGTCTATGATGTGGACAATACAACATACTTAATAAAATTGCAACGCCCTGAAGAGAAAGCCGTATTGCTTCTTGAATCTGGTATTAGATTTCATTCAACAGGATTTGAATGGCCGAAAAATCCTTCACCTTCTGGATTCAGTATGAAGGTAGGTTTTTGACTTTTTCTTTTAGAGTCACTTTTGCCATCACTATAATAATCATTTTATTTTTTTTGACAGCTGCGTAAGCATTTGAAAAACAAGAGAATTGAGGTTTTACGCCAAATGGGTCTAGATCGTATTGTGGATTTCCAGTTTGGCACTGGAGAAGCTGCTTATCATGTTATTCTAGAACTTTATGATCGCGGTAACATTATTCTTACTGACCACGAAATGAATATACTGAACATTTTACGCCCTCACACAGAGGGTGAAGAAATAAGGTATTATTTATAGTTTAATTGCTATGGCCTGTTCAGTTGAAGATGATAAAGAGAGATCATTACATTTATCATCCATTTTTCCGTCCAGATTTTGTGTAAAGGAGAAATATCCCTCTGATCGAGCCAGAGAAAGAGGTCCACCGCCATCAGCTGAGGATTTGAGACGTATTCTAACTAATGCCAAGGGTGGAGAGAGCCTTCGAAAGGTCCTTAATCCCCATCTAGGTAGGGGATTGAAATTTAAACATCCAAATATGAACGTTTCTTCTTTTATTAAAGTCAAACATTTTTAAGGTCAATTAATTTTCAGAATATGGCCCTGCTGTAATTGAACATGTTTTACTCTTGGTGGGCTTTCCTGCGGGTGTAAAGATTAACAAAGGGATGAATCCAAACTCAGATGAAGACATTGAAAAACTACTTGAGGCGCTGCAGCAAGCTGAGCACATGATTGACCGAGCATTACAGGAATCCTCTAGAGTGAGTCGTCTTGTTGAATTGATAACAAACTCATCCAATATCTGTAACACTTAAAATTAATATACATTATTTTTAAAGGGTTACATACTGCAAAAGAAAGAACATCGTGATCCTTCAAGTGAGGACTTTCTATTGAGCAACCAAGAATTTCATCCCATAGTATTTCTCCAAATGAGAGGACAGCCTATTAAAGAGTTCCCTACGTTTGACCAAGCAATTGATGAGTTTTTCTCTTCACAAGAAAGTCAGAAAATCGACTTGAAGGCCTTACAGCAGGTTAGATGTCTCAATTAACACATAAATAACAGTGAGACATTTTCTTAAATGTAACTATTTCATTTGTATTTCTTCAACCACATCTTTAGGAAAGAGAAGCTTTGAAGAAATTGAACAATGTGAAGAAGGATCATGAAAATCGTCTGCAAGCATTAACTAAAACTCAGGAATTAGACAGAGTTAAGGCAGAACTTATCATGCGCAACCAGGAACTTGTGGATAATGCCATTACTGCTGTGCGTACTGCTATTGCTAGTCAAGCTTCTTGGACAGATATTGAAAGCATGTTGAAGGAAGCTCAGTCACAGAAGGATCCTATTGCAACTTGCATAAAACAGTTAAAACTTGAGATAAATCACATTACTATTCTTCTGAGGTAGTTTACATGCATCAGTTTCTTATTTCATAATTAATTTTAAGTATCAAGTATTTGACTTAATTTTGGTTTTGTGGTCAGTGATCCCTTTGCCGAAGACGACTCGGACTCTGACGAACCTCCTCTCAAACCAATGCTCATTGACATTAACCTTGATCTTGGAGCATTTGCTAATGCCCGCAGGTAAATGTTCAATTTGCGCTGAGGCAGTAATCCTCATATTAATTTATCATAATTAATTTTGTCTTTTTGTTTAGTTATTATGACCAGAAACGATCTGCTGCCAAGAAACATCAGAAAACAATCGAGTCTCAAGTGAAAGCTTTTAAAAGTGCAGAGAAGAAAACAAAGCAGACCTTGAAAGAGGTACAAACGTTAACAAACATCTGTAAAGCAAGAAAAACGTTTTGGTTTGAAAAGTTTTTCTGGTTTATAAGTTCTGAAAATTATCTTGGTATGTTTAACTTCAATAAGTTGCCTGTGGTATATTTTATTAAAAACTTTACATTGATAGAAATTTCTACTGATCCAATTACAGTTATCGGTGGACGTGATCAAGTTCAGAATGAGTTAATTGTGAAACGCTACATGAGATCAGGTGATATCTATGTTCATGCTGATTTATCAGGAGCCAGTAGTGTTGTCATAAAAAATCCTTCAGGGCAGCCCATTCCACCCAAAACACTTAATGAAGCAGGAGTGATGGCTGTGTCCTACAGGTAAATTTTATGAATATATTGTTCTTTTAATACTTTGCTCCTTTTTTATTAAATAGCCTAATATGAGATTCTCTCATTATTTTAGTGTTGCCTGGGAAGCGAAGGTAGTCACAAATGCATGGTGGGTTCAAAGTGATCAGGTTTCTAAAACTGCTCCCACTGGAGAATTTTTGACAACGGGTAGTTTCATGATTCGTGGCAGAAAAAATTTTCTTCCGCCTTCACATCTTATAATGGGCTTCAGTTTCTTGTTCAAGTTGGAGGAGAGTTCAGTCCCAAGGTATTTATTATTCTCTCTTTTAAGGGTATAAATACTGAATGTTTCACCTCTAAATGTTGTCAAAATTTTAACAGGCATGCTGGAGAACGCCGTGTACGAACAGCTGACGAAGATGCCGATTTCAAGCCAGAGATAGATAGTGTGATTGATGAGGTAGATCAGGAAGTTGTCCTAGATAATTCAGATGATGAAATTAAGAATGAAAATGGTGAGTGACCTCTTTATTTTACTATCTATATTCATATTCTATGGGTTTTTCTTCCTTTATGATATTAAGTAATTTTCTATCATGACATTTTCTTAGAAAATTGTGGAGACTCTACTCTTAATGAGGAAGAGCCAGTCAATAAAGATGGAATTGATGCTAACTCTGGTAGTGACGGGGGGGAAGATGAGGAGGAGTCTCTCTTCCCAGACACTAAAATTGCTGTGGATCACCTTGTTAAAAATGTGTATGTACAACTTATGCATCAGATAGTTAATGTTGTTTCTTCTTCTTTCTCTCCAACTATCGTTTTAAAACTTTGGAAACAACAAGTATGTTCCTCCCTGACTGTTCAACATTTCTTCCAGGAATGAATTTAAAGTCTCAGTTAGTGAGGAAGACTCAGTCTTTATTGTGGGTAATAGTCGTCCTCTTCCTAAGAAAGAAAAAGTAACTCAACAGAAAAGGCCTGAAGACAAAGTTGCAAAAGGTAAGTAGGAAGGAGGAGGAAATTTAGGACATGTATATAATTGATAACCCATTTATTTTCTCTCGTTCAGATGATGATGAAACTAGTAAGACACAGCAGTCTCAAATGAAAAGACGTCAAAAGGGAAAAATAAAGAAAATTAAAGAGAAATATAGGGACCAAGATGATGAAGAAAGAGCTCTTCGAATGCAAGTTCTTCAGGTAATTCTTTGCTTCAATCCGCTTTGTAATCAACATTTTGAAATCATGAAAACATAAAAACTAAATAATCTATTAAATGTCAGTCGGCAGGCGGCCCTAAAGAAATTGCTAGCAAGAAAACTAAGAAAGGGAAGGGAGTTCCTACACCCAACCCACGCCCTCCGGTGCAACAGCCAAAAGTACCTAAGAAGGCTAGTCGAACTCCTGCAGATGGAACCAAACCCGATGGTGAAAAGGAAGAAGGAGATGATGAAGATGAAACAACTGAGCCAGTAGTTTCTGCAGAAGTAGATATGTTGGAGTCACTCACAGGAATCCCCCTTCCTGAGGATGAAATCCTATTTGCAGTCCCTGTTGTTGCACCATACAATGCACTACAGAATTACAAGTAAGCCATTCAAGCAAACATAACAAGATAGAATATTTAAAAGCTTAAATATTTTAGTAAGAGTGTAGAAAAAAAGATCTTAAACATAGGTATATTTAACTCTTTTCAGGTACAAGGTGAAGTTAACACCAGGTACCGGCAAAAGAGGAAAAGGAGCACGTACTGCCTTGAACATGTTCTTAAAGGATCGGCAGGCAACAGGACATGAAAAGGATTTGCTGAAAGCTGTAAAAGATCAAGATTTAGCTCGCAACATTCCTGGTTCTGTGAAAGTCTCTGCTCCTCAACTACAGAAATCACGAAAATGAGTGGCAGAAATACTCAACCCTCCTACACCAATTTCTAAATTAAAACTCTACTCCTGCTAGAATTCTCCTTTAGTCAATCCTTTTATAGGCTCAAGGGCCATTTTTTTTTCTGCTATGGCTGGAGCAAGGTACCCAACCATGGAGTAGAACTGTAATGGAGAAGCAACTAAGTACGTTGAAATGTGTGCCGCGCTGGCTGGCGAAGCTATCTCCTCTGAAGCCAATGTGCTTAGAAATCTCACCCACTCAGTTTTTGGAAGCCTGTGGTCTACTGCAGCTAATGATGCCCTTGTTTTGAGTGTAGCATCATTCAAACTGGAGCTACGACGCCTGGAACGCCGCAGATCCGTTTTCGGACATGTGCCACCCGTGTATGTAGAGAGAGACAGACAGAGCCAGGGTCATGAATGTCCATGAAATAATAACCGTTTGACTCTGCAGCGTTCAGGGTCTTCACGGTTGTGTTCAGAAAGAAGAATTTGAAGTAAAAACTTTTAATTCAGTGGCCCTATTTGAAGAAATATGACCCTCATTCTGTCTGTCTCTCTCTACATACACGGGTGGCACGTAGCCGAAAACAGATTTGCGACGTTCCAGGCGTCGTAGCTCCAGTTTGAATGATGCTACACTCAAAACAAGGGCATCATTAGCTGCAGTAGACCATAGGTTTTCAAAAATTGAGTGGGTGAGATTTCTAAGCACATTGGCTTCAGAGGAGATAGCTTCGCCAGCCAGCGCGGCACACATTTCAACGTACTTAGTTGCTTCTCCATTACAGTTCTACTCCATGACCCAACTAAACCTATGAGTAGCTGGCTTCAACTTGGATTGCTAAACCAATTTTCCTAGGTGTAACAGCTTTTACTGCTGGCTGTCCCACGGTTCAGCCAATTGGATGTAGCTAACACTGGTTAAACATAAAAGTTTAACAGGATTAAGCATAAGCAGTGCTGTTTGTTTTGTTTTTCCCTTTTAATATGTGCTGCAGTCTTATTTAATGTTGGAAGCATAATTCCACTTGTTGGTTTGTCAAATACAATAGCAAATGCCACTCCAGCATGTTTTGGATGGAAAAATAATATGCACCTCTCATCCCCTCGTACAAAACAATAAAGTGAACTCAGAGCCTAATAAAAAAAAAGTATTTAGCAATGTTGCTCAACCCCTCAACATTTTTAGTTGAAACCACAAAGTGTTAGCAACACCGAATCCGATTTGACTCAACCTAGGAACAGCCTGCAGTGAAAGTAGCTACATCTTAGACTCCTGTGATTTCCAACTTGAACTGGTCAATCCTAGTTTTAACCAGCTAATCCGAGGTTTTGCCCACAAGCTGTATACTACCATAACTTATCTATGTATTTTACCTTCACAGGACAAAAGAGTATGTGGTATTTTTTGTTTTTGTTTTTGAGGTGAGGGTTTCCTTGGTAATTATGCACATGATATGTTGCCCTGACCGAACAGAGCTGTGATTTCAATTTTAGTGAGAGTGATATTAGATGTGTGTACAGTCTAAAATATAGCAAAATACTAACTGCTGATTATTTGCCTTATACTCCTGTGGAAATAATGTATGAACTCAAAGCGAATGCAATTAGTGTAAGTTAACTGCACAAATTAGTGTTTGACGAAACATTTAATTTTAAGAAATAAGATGTTGTGCAATGTAACAGAAACTACAGTACACCATAACTTTTAAAACAAACAAATAAAAATGATTAAGGCTGAGGAAAATAATGGTATGAACATAGCAGACTTTTGGAGTACAATGTATTGCATCAAATTAAAGCTTATGAGTGTTTTCATGGAAAGTCCATGTAAGATTAGCAATGTCCCTATCATTCACAATAGTTTGTTTATTAGAATTCAGAAACTACTGAATGAAAACAAAATCTATATCTTGCCTGTTGACATGCTTGGCTAATGATTTACTTTTTCTGGTTTAACTTTGGTCCCTGGACTGTTCCAAGTCAAAATGGGGAAGAATATTTTCAGGAAACATGCATACGATTAATAAACAGTGTTGTGAATGTATGAATTTTTACATATAGGCTTTGAATTCTTGCTGTCCATTCCATGTCATCAAATCAATGATTCCCAAGAAACCCCTCCTGAAGACCAGCAGAGCAAGAACGAGTACCCCTGACTAATGGCTTTTCATTGAATACTTCACACACTTGTCAAAACATAGAAATTATAGAAAACACATGGCAAAACAAACAATTAAATCACAGATAAAGGCTCAGACCAGTAAGAATTCAGTCCCTGAAATGCTTGTTATAACAAGCTTTCTTCTACTGCATAAGCTACCCTTAATTTTGTGCTCTTTGTGGGAAAATATGAACATGGGACTAGGATGAAAAATTATGTATGCATTTTCTCAAGAACAAGTTATTACAATAAAAAATTAGGGCTTGGCTAAAGTTTGTAACATTTTTAATTTTTTTCACAACAGAAGGTGGAGATTGTTTATCAGACACTAACTTTTAAACTATTCAAGAGCTCATTAAAGAACAGAGTCAATAGATGATTGGGACATTACTTAATTCACCAGAAATTGATTACAGATGATTCTATATATAAACAGAACCTTTGTGCTATATCATGCTGAAAATTGATCCAAAAAACAGCACCAACTTGACATGAAAGTGAAAAACTATAGGATTTTTATTACAGAGTAAACATGCATCTTAACAAGGAATTCATCTTGAATGAAGTTAACAAGCAAAATTAAAGGTGTCAAATTTAACTTACAGTGGCTTCAGTAAGGTGCTAAAACAAATCATAACAATCCAAGCACTAATGCTGAATATGTAGTGTAACAGAAATATGCTCATCTCCAAAATAACAGTTTCATTTACAGACTTTGGTGACCCATAAATTAACATTTATTAGCACATACTAAATTTTCCTGTTCTGAGCCCTTTGCGACTGGCAAGGTAAGGCACAGGGACTGCTTGTTCCGTATTGGGAAACAAGAATGCCAACTCCATTTTGCCTGTTAACAATGAACTGAAAACCACATAATGACTTGACACATACACATAATAAATAAAATGGGATTGGCATTCTATGAAAACCCATTGACAGACCCTGCGGAAGACACATAAGCCAGTCATTTCACAAAGCTACAGGAAGGAACAAATCCCGGAGGGAGAAAACAAAAACAGAAGGAAGGGCATCTTAAAAGTAAAAATTAATCATGAAGGATTCCATAAAAAGAGCTAAGCAGAAGAAACAACCCTATGATACAGGTACTGAATTAAAATTGTTGAATCTTAATGCCAAATTCAAAACAGGTCTATTGCCTGAAAATGAAACTGTTTTCTCTGAAGAAAATATTGAGTGACACTGATATGTAATCTCACTTCAAAATTTCTGCTCTATACTTGGCTGCTGTAAAACTATCAGTTTTCTGTTGGCATCAATGATAAAAAATATTTAAAAACAGGTCAGCAATTATCAGACTGAAAATTTCAAACATTAAATCAAAATTTATCATAAAATTTTGTTTTGAATTAGTTGCAAGTACCATAGTCCAAACTTGCTTTGCTCATAAACTTCAAAGACTAATACAATTAGTTAACACAGAAGTCATTATCTAGAAAATACTTTTCCTCAGGAAAATTCAAGGCAGGGCTGCATCTAAAAGACAAAATTTCCGCACCACAGAAACAAAACTGGAAATCAACAAAAAAATGAAACATACACAAATCTCATAAGCCAGCTTTTAGGTTAAAAATAAGACAATAACACGATCAGTGCCATGCCACATGTACAAATATCATCACTCTAAATTTCAGTAAACTAAGAAAAAAAAAATTACAGAACACTTCCATGGTGGACAAGGATAAAAGCAAACTTAAAAGTTCACATGATAGAGGTATCAAAATAGTGTTGTTTGATTCGTCTATCATGAACTTCCTAGGGCTTAATGTTCAACATTTTGTCTCAAAAAGAGGAGGATCAAGTAGCAGCTCAGAGGAGCTAACTGGATGAGCAGCCAGTTATATTACATATACCTTTTAACAATCAATATGACACTCCAAAGAAAGAGAAAAAAACAGGTAATATATTTATATATATATATTTTTCTATTTATATATGCAATAATTAACTTTTGACACTCATCATTAAGTCTTGATAGAAACAAGTACTACATATGAACAGTTTCTACACATCAGAAAGGAGTAGGAAACAATACTGTGTCACCATAATTACAACATATGGATGAATTCTGCACAAATGTACAAAGAGCTTGGCAGTTTGACATGCATGGTTTAAGGGAAGAAGGCAGGTACGGGACCCAGGCATGAGAATGCTGTTATCCTGGCACCCTTCCTGGCACCCAACATATGGAAGACACAAGGGCACCATGGGTTTCCAACTTTTGCTAAAACAGGCTACCCAGAGAGAATGATGTTAAAATTTAGGTGGTACTAAAAAATCAAAGTTAAAATTTAGATAAAACAGACAGTGATGTGCAATTTAAAGGACAGAGACAGGTTAAAATCGTATTAATAAAGAAATAAAGTACCCTCAAGAAGGCAGCAAACACTCCTTGGAGAATGCTAGCAATAAATGCTTCTTTGTGCACTCCTACGTCATTCCTGACTTGGTTCCCATTGGAGACAGATATCGGGTACCATGCATATAGTGGTATTTGACACACTGCACCACTGTTCCCAGCCACCCACTTGGCTACTTGCAGTGCATACCATTTTGTTCATAACTGTTCACTGAGATTCTTAAAGAAGAACACAAACACTCTTCTTCTTCTGCTTCTGTTTCTTTTCTGGAGACTTCTTGTTGATTTGTCGCACTAGGTCATAAAATATCTGCACAAAAGAAATAAACAGTTGTGAAACAATCAGATATTGATATTAGGATTAAATATGGAGGGAAAAAGGGAGGGGGAGGGGGGGTCTTTTTCTTACATCATTAACATTGATCTTTGCTTTTGCAGAGGTTTCCATGAAGGCACAATTGAATTGTCGGGCAAGATTCACTCCTTGGTCCTTTCCAACAACTCTTTCATCTTCCAAATCACACTTGTTGCCAACTAGCACCATCGGTACATCATCAGTATCCTAAAAAATCAGGTACCAAAAGAAAACATAGTAAAACCACAACATTGTGAAAGATACAATAAAAGGCATCATGATTACTAACTTTGACCCGTAATATCTGTTCCCGCAGATCTTGTAGGTCATTGAAAGTTGACTGCGCAGTGATTGAATATACCAAAACAAATCCTTGGCCATTTTTCATATATAAATCTCTCATTGCTGTAAATTGTTCCTGAAACAGTAAAATTGTTACAAAAAGTCTGGAAAACTGATATGAGCATGATAAATCATTAGGTAAAATACATACAGTGCCCGCAGTATCAAGAATTTCCAGCATACATTGCTGACCGTCTACTTCTACTTGTTTCCGATAACTGTCTTCAATAGTAGGGTCATATTTCTCTACAAATATCCCCTGTACAAATTGCACAGTTAAAGCTGATTTTCCTACACCACCACTTCCAAGAACAACAATCTTATATTCACGCATTCTTGAATTCAGTGTGTTTCTGCAAAATAAAAAACTACCTTAATAAAAGGAGAAAACTGGAAAATATTTTTAAAAATTAATATCAGGTCCCTAAAAGCAGTACAGCAAGGCTGAAAAACTAGCTATGCTTTCATATAACATGGAAGTAAATGTGGAAATTGGACCCTCCCGTATGATTTAACAAGAACTTAAAATGACACAAATAAAGTAGTTAAGGAAAAGGCTGATAGCAACAGAAAATTCACAGTTTCGGTCCCGATATGATAAAAACAGGACGATGATATCCTTGAAGAATGCTCTTAGCAGCCCACACCCCCTTAATGAATGGAAACTAAGTAACAGGCTAAAGCTACGAACACTCTCATTCACTTGAAGCTGCTTCTAGGCGGTCCTCGGTATCGAGCGACAAGGCACGCCCGGCTCGAGTACGGTGACTAAGCCACAATTAAGTGTCAGGTGAGAAATTCAAAACACGTCATTACAAATGTACCGACCTAACCTATCAATGGAGAGTTGTAGTGTCGTAGTGGTTATAAATGAACATCGAATGTGATATTACATCACGTTTAAGTAGGGTACATAGTATTACGCCAGTAACTGACAGTAAAATACATGTAGGTGTCCAAAATAAGGCGTGTGAAAATTATACAGGGAGATGTGGGCGCACCCGACCTCACGAAGGCCTAGCAGGTATAAGGACAACGCACTAGCGTCCACAAGCAGCACAAAGCAATAGAGTGACGGCGAAGACGACCACTCAATAATTTTAGAACCTACCTTAAGGGATAAAAATTTCACTTGTGTAATGGGCCGGCTCCCGCCCCTTTCCACTCCTTTCCCTAATTAAGCACAACAAAATGCCATGTTCCGTCGAATTAAGGACACGGAGCAATCCAAACCTCTTCGCAAATCGGCCCGCAAGACCGACACAAAGGTGGCCAGGGATTGAGCCAATGCGGCCAACACGTCGGAATTTTCTTTAAAATTCTCTAGATAACCAATTTGCTCGATGAACAGAAATCAACTGTAAGCCTACCGTTATCTTTGGGGCGATGGCTTCCCGACATTCCCAACTTCCGTTGACGCATGCGTCGATTTGACCAACACCCGTGTGTACTTTCGGTCGGACTAAAATATGAAGTAGGAATGAGGAATAGTTACAACACTAGCCTAAAAGCATAAATTGTCTATCGTCGTAGTATACTCGACTGAATGGGAATAAATCGCAGTGCTTTTAAATGAAAATTTTTGTATGGATTTCATACGAGCAGTTGGTAGTTCTGGAGTATTAGTTCCGTAAGCAATGGCTGAATGGCAATCGATTTGAAAGATTCCGGGGGGAATTGACGCTACCGATTTGACATAGTAGCGTGGGAATGCCAAATCAGCGTGGAAATTGCACCGACCAACCCAAAGCGAAACCAGCAAACCGTGTGTAATTTTTCTGACGTGTGTTGGTATAAGCGCACGATGAATCCCAACTCCAAAGCTAGATCAAATGGGCACCAAATTAAAAGTGTAAGGAACAGGACGGGCACAGCATTCTCAAGTGCAGAAATGCTTTAGCCGTCAGACCCCCCCCCCTCCCCCTTTACCAATGACGAATATGTGATCATGACGTATTCTCATTCTGATCTAAAAGGGTGGACGAAAGATCAGGCGCAAAGGGGTAACATAGACGTGCAGCGGCGTTTCGGAAAACAAAAGAGGAACACAGATATATGTCAGTGTACTACTCTCTCAAGTCCCTCCCATTCATTTACATGATTACATCGCGCTGCTGGTGGGACAGTCTCCTCTCTACTCCGTGGAGAGGGGCGTGGCCAGGCGTGGCGCGCTGAAGGGGGGGCTCGTAGCTGCGCTCGTCGTATGGCCCGCGGGCCCCACCTGTGGCTGCCCCTCTGCCCCTAGAGCACCCCCCCCCCCTTTCCCCTTCATCTGCCACTCTCCCAACCCTTTTAGCCCTTTTTCTAACGGGGGGTAGGGGGGTCGGCGGGGAGGTGGTGGTGAGGGTGTGTCCCGGACACGGCGCGACACAGGGGTGTTACGAGTGGGAGTGGGCCGGGCCGGGCCGCCTCGGTGGGACCATTAAGGCCCGTGCACACAGTAATTGCGGGAAGTAAGCGCGAAATGGAGCTCTCCGCAGCGAGAACTCCGGCCGCGTAATTTCGCCTCGGAAGCGCGACTTTGTCACGTGGCGGCCATGCCTGACGACTTATGCCGCT